CTCAAGACTGCTTTCGCTGTGTCCCATAGGTTTTGGATTGTTGTGTTTTCATTGTCGTTTGTTGCCATGATGTTTTTTATTTCTTCTTTGATCTCTCTGGTAACCCAGTCATTGTTTAATAGCATGCCATTTAGTATCCATGTGTTTGATTTTTTGGGATTGTTTTTATTTTAGTTGATTTCCAGTTGTATGCCATTGTGATCTGATAAGATGCTTGATATGATATCTATCTTCTTGAATTTGAAGAGACTTTGCTTGTGACCCAGTATATGGTCTATCTTTGAAAATGACCCATGTGTACTTGAGAAGAATGTATATTCTGTGGCTTTGGGATGAAATGTTCTGAAGATGTCAATTAATTCCATCTGATCTAGTGAGTCATTTAGGATTAATGTTTCTTTGCTGATTTTTTGTTTAGAGGATTTGTCCAATGGTGATAGTGGGGTATTAATATCCCCTACTATGATTGTATTGCTGTCAATCTCTCCCTTGGTATCCTCCAGAAGTTTTCTTATGTATTTGGGTGCTCCTATATTGGGTGCGTATATGTTTACCCGAGTTATTTCTTCTTGTTGGATTGCTCCCTTTAGTATTATGAAGTGGCCTTCCTTATCTCTTTTTATGTCCTTCACTTTGAGATCTAGTTTGTCAGATATAAGTATTGCTACCCGAGCTTTTTTTTCATTTCCATTTGCCTGAAAAACCTTTTTCCATCCCTTCACCATCAGTCTGTTTGCATCTTTTTTTCAGAGGTGGGTTTCCTGTAGACAGCAGATATATGGGTCATGTTTTCTTATCCACTCAGTTACCCTATGTCTTTTGATTGGGGCATTTAATCCATTTATATTTAAAGTTATTATTGATAGGTACTTGTTTGTCACCATTTTTATTCTTTACCCATGTGTTCCTTCTTCGTTTCCTATTTTTTCTTTTTACAACAGACCCTCTAGCATTTCTTGCATTGCTGGTTTGGTGGTAATAAACTCCCTTAGTCCTTTTTTGTCTGTGAAGCTCCTGATTTCACCCTCAATTTTGATTTATAGCCTTGCTAAATCCTTCTTGGATTCAGACCCTTGCTGTGCATGATTTTGTATATTTAATTCCATTCCCTTCTTGCCTGATGTGTTTCTGTTGAGAAATCAGTCACTAGTCTGATGGGGGATCCTTTGTAGGTAACTTTCTGTCTCTCTCTGGCTGCTTTTAAGATTCATACTTTGTCATTGGTGTTTGCCAATTTAATTATAATGTGCCTTGGCGTCGGTCTTTTGGGGTTCATTTGGTTTGGGACTCTGTGAGCTTCTTGGATTTGTGTGAGTTTTTTCTTCCCTATATCAAGGATGTTTTTTGTCATTATTTCTTCAAACAGGTTTTCTATTCCTTGCTCAGTTTCCTCTCCTTCTGGCACCCCTATTATGTGGATGTTGTTTCATTTTGTGTTGTCCCAAAGTTCTCTTAGGCTCCCCTCTTGCTTTTTAATTTTTTTTCTAGATGCTGCTCTGCTTGGGTATTTTTTCCCACCTTGTCTTCTAGCTCACTGATGCAGTCCTCTGCTTCTTCTAGTCTACTGTTGATGCTTTCTATTGAGTTCTTTATAGCAGTGATGTCATTTTTCATTTCTTCTTGGTTCTTCTTCATTTCCTCTAGGTTCTTACACATATTGTTAAATTTGTCTTCCAATCTTTTCATCACCTTATGACCATTTCTCTGAATTCTTTCTCTGACAGGTTGTTTGCCTCCATTTCATTTACTTCCTTTTCTGGTGATGCCTGCTTTTCTTTCATATGTGGCTGTTTCTTTGTCTCCCCATGATCTCTCTTCTCCAGGTGTCTGGTTATGTAGTTCTCTCTCTCCTGCGTTGATTTAAAGATACAAAATAGAGCCCTGGACCAAGATGGCGGCATAGGTAAACACCGGAGACCGCTGCAGCAAACAACCACTTCAAAAATACCACTAAAAGACGGAACGGACATCACCCAGAACCACAGGAAGGCTGGCTGAGGAGAGACTCTTCAACTAGAAGAAAAGACAACAGCATACCGAGGCTCAGAGGAGGCGCAGTGTGGAAAACTTAAAGGTGCGGAGGTGCGCGCGCAAAGCGGGCTGGTGGCTGAGGGCGCGGTTGTCGTTTTCAATCGGAGGGAGTCTCAGACTCTGAGCTCCAGATCCGGGCGAGTCTCTAGGGACTCAGACTCAAACGGGAGAAGCGGGATTGTCTAGCATCAGTTGGAACGTGAGGGCAGCTTTCTCTCCAAGGTTTGCAGCAGTTGCCAGGGTTCTGAGAAACAGAGCCTCTGGGAATGGGACTGAGAGCAGCTGTAACCGCTCCCTCCGCCCGCCCTGTTGATCCCGCCCAGCCCAAGCCCTGCACAGAGCTATTTGCCAGATAGCCTCAGGCAAAGGCTAGATTAGCACCTCCACAGAGGACAGAAGTTTTCCTGGGCAGACACAGCTGATTCTCACAGCCAGTCGGCCTGGTGGTCAAATCCCTCTAGTATTAACTACAACAATCAAGGCTTAACTACAACAAGACTGCTCACAAAGACCACAAGGGGGTGCACCAAGAAAGCATAAAAAATGCGGAGACAAAAAAACATGACAGAAGTGGAGGATATAGAGCTAAAAACGCAATTTTGAGGGCTTGCAATAAACTTGATGAGAGCCTCACGAAAACTAATGAGACCCTCGATGCTATGATAAAGAACCAACTAGAAATTAAGCTTACAAGGACTGAAATAAAGAATATTATACCCAATAGCAGACCAGAGGAGCGCAAGAATCAAGTCAAAGATTTGAAATGCGAAGAAGCAAAAAACACCCAACCGGAAAAGCAAAATGAAAAAAGAATTCAAAAGTGTGAAGCTAGTGTAAGGAGCCTCTGGGACAGCTTCAAGCGCACTAATATCAGAATTATAGGGGTGCCAGAAGATGAGAGACAGCAAGATATTGAAAACCTATTTGAAGAAATAATGGCAGAAAACTTCCCCCACCTGGTGAAAGAAGTGGACTTACAGGTCCAAGAAGCGCAGAGAACCCCAAACAAAAGGAATCCAAAGAGGACCACACCAAGACACATCATAATTAAAATGCCAGGAGCAAAAGACAAAGAGAGAATCTTAAAAGCAGCAAGAGAAAGAGACTCAATTACCTACAAGGGAATACCCATACGACTGTCCGCTGATTTCTCAACAGAAACTTTACAGGCCAGAAGGGAGTGGCAAGAAATATTCAAAGTGCTGAATACCAAGAACCTACAACCAAGAGTACTTTATCCAGAAAAGCTATCATTCAGAATTGACGGTCAGATAAAGAGCTTCACAGATAAGGAAAAGCTAAAGGAGTTCATCACCACTAAACCAGTATTATACGAAATGCTGAAAGGTATCCTTTAAGAAGAGGAAGAAGAAAAAGGTAAAGATACAAATTGTGAACAACAAACATGCATCTATCAACAAGTGAATCTAAGAATTAAGTGAATAAATAATCTGATGTACAGAATGAACTGGTGATTATAATGAATCAGGGACATAGAAAGGGAATGGACTGACTATTCTTGGGGGGGGGAAGGGGAATGGGAGATGCGTGAAGAGACTGGACAAAAATCGTGCACCTATGGATGAGGACAGTGGGTGGGGAGTGAGGGCGGAGGGTGGGGTGGGAGCTGGAAGGAGGGGAGTTATGGGGGGGGGAAAGAGGAACAAATGTAATCTGAACAATAAAGATTTAATAAAAAAAATAAATAAATAAAAAATAAAGGTACAAAATACAACACAACAAGGCACAACACACAAGGCACTGAACACAAATGAATTCACAATATCGATAACCCCAAATAAAGTGACCACCAGAGAAAAGAGAATTAGGGGATAAGAAAGAAAGAAGAAGAGAAAAAGAAAGAAAGAAAAAAGAGGGGGCAAAAAGGAGTGCAAAATGAAATTGGGAAAAGAAAAAAAAGTAAGAGAGAAAAGAAAGAGAATGAAATAGAAGAGGAGAAAAAACTATTTATTTGGGGAGAAAACTCCAATAGAACAGCCACTAATTCCAACAAAAGCCAGCATCAAATACCTAGAGATGAATGCAAACTACAAACAACAACTAATATCAAGCAAGGTGAGGGAAAACAGAAGCAAAAAATAACCAAAAACAGCCCTAACAGGTTTGGCTCAGTGGATAGAGCAGTGATGGCGAACCTATGACACAAGTGTCAGAGATGACAGGTGAACTCATTTTTTTGGTTGATTTTTCTTTGTTAAATGGCATTTAAATATATCAAATAAATATCAAAAATATAAGTCTTTGTTTTACTATGGTTGCAAATATCAAAAAATTTCTATACGTGACACGACACCAGAGTTAAGTTAGGGTTTTTCAAAATGCTGACATGCCGAGCTCAAAAGTTTCGCCATCACTGGGATAGAGCGTCAGCCTGTGGACTCAAGAGTTCCAGGTTCTATTCTAGTCAAGGGCATGTACCTTGGTTGTGGGCACATCCCCAGTAGGGAGTGTGCACAAGGCAGCTGATTGATGCTTCTCTCTCATCGATGTTTCTAACTCTCTATCCCTCTCCCTTCCTCTCTGAAAAAAAATCAATAAATATATTTAAAAAAATAGAAATCATCATTCTTCCCTTAAAAAAAATAACCAAAAACAAAACAAAAAAACAAAAAAGAAGTGAAACAATCTCACAAACAAGCATAAAAAAACCCAATATAATCAACAATCAAGCAAACAATGACAAAACGACAGAGAGAAAAAATTTTGGATACTGAAGAAAGAGAAGAGAGAGGTGTGTATGGACTTAGAGCAGGGGATTGGAAATTAGATATATAAGTAGGGTGAAATTTTAACAGGGGGTATAAAGAAGGGCTTTTTCCTTTAGTCTTGAAGTTAATATTTTTAAATGTTAACTATTAACACTGATTAATAGAAGTATGTGTCTTGTACTTTAATGTATTTTTCTAATTTTGGGGGAAAAGAGAAAGAAAAAGATAAAATGTTTTTACCTTTGCCTCCCTTACAGTGAATCACTATGATGTTTTTGTCATCTTGAGCCATCCAATTCTGTGCTTCTTTGGAAAATTCCACCATCTCACTGATTTCAAATGTAAGATTTTTAGTTGAATTAACAGACTTCCAAAAAATCAAGCCCAATGTATTTAGCCCTCTTCTGACAGTCAACTGGCATAGACTTACCTCAGAGAGGGGACATTATGATCATCAATCATGATTCGATGGACCCTATAATGGAAGTACTTAGGATCATAAGATCTTTCACCTAAAATAAATGATACATAGGTCATAGCTCTATACCTAATAAACACAGTAAATTATCAAGTTATGAATGTTATAATTTTCTCTTAGAAATTATTTATTCACCTTAAAAGGAGCTTTTTGACTGGCTCCTGCTATACTAAAAGACACTTACAAGTCTCAAAAAAATAAAGACAGTAGAGTGATTTGTCCATCTTGAGTAACCTAAGCCCAACTTATTTTGATTTGTTCAACAGGTCTTACTTTTAATTTTCTAACTGAAAGGGTTAAAGAGAATAAACTGGGGCAGAGAAAACTTATTGTGCTTAGCAGATATCTTGCAGAAAGCTTGCAGCCTTGAGCACTGCATAGCTTATATAACCAGAAGACACCTGGCATTGGGAGGAACCAAGGACTGACCAGACCCTTACATCAGCAGAACGGTTTGCAGCCAGCAATCTGTATATATAAAAGCTTAAGCAACCGTTCAACCAGCAGCTATGATACACCCTGACCACCAGGAGGCAGATGCTCAATGCAGGAGCTGCCCCCTGGTGGTCAGTGCACTCCCACAGTGGGAGCACTGCTCAGCTGACCGATGGGCGCCAGACGCCAGGCTCAGGGCTGGCAAGCGCAGCTGCAGTGGCATGAGCCTCTCCCGCAGGCACTCCCCCTGCATGCCCCTCCCCCATCTGGACCTGGACGGCATCAGGACTGATTGGGCATGAGCCTGTGGCTGCTTCTCAGTCATGGGTGTGCTGGTATCGCCCTAGGACAGGTGTGGAGACTGCAGCAGAGTGGCAGCAAGCCTCACTTTGTGCACTACTACATCACTCGGGGGATGTTGGACTGCCGATTTTGGCCTGATTTCCCCCTCACCCCACTCCCCCACCCCCCACTTCCAGGGACCCCACCGGTGCACAAATCCATGTACCGGGCCTCTAGTGATTAATAAAAAACTTTATCTTCCTTCAGTCTCTGCTGATCCCTTTGTCGGACTCAGCCCACCTGCACCCAGGCGCCTGAAATAAAAGCTTTTGATACATTATGGCCTCATGTCATAGGTGCTCCCCCCGCCCACTCCGAACCTTTCACTAACAGGCTACTCATTACATTGTGCTAGGGTAGTTAGACATCAGAGAGCAGAAGCAAATGTGGCCAACAAAAATGCCTCCTGAAAATGTCTAATATACAGGAAGAGAAAAAAATCAAAAGAAACAAAGTAGTAAACTAGAATATAATGTTTTTTACAAGGTTTTGGTTTTTGTGTAGAACCCTGCTCTTCTCACACTCCACCTTTAGTGGGTTAGAGAACACATTGGTTGAATTGTCTGTCTTCAAAACACAAACTGGCAAGAAAAACAAATATTTTCCTAAACCTAACACCATTACAGTAGACTCTTCCTTACATGGCTCCACCTCCACTTCAGCCTCCTGCCTGCCCCACCAACTCAGCCCAGCACAAGATGGAGATTTTTTTCACTCTCTTCCCACCACCACCACATGCTTATGATTAAATGAAATGTAAAAATTGAATCATCTTCTTATATGTAGTAATCTATTTTCTATCTATAGTAGTTACATATCCACTCATGTACATACTGCAAAGATTGTAGACTTGATAGTGGTTTCGATGCTTGGTATCCAGGAACCGCACAACTTCCTAAGAAAGATGGACACCTATCTTACATATATCCACATGACACCAACAAAAACCATTTTCTAGGAATAACCTAAAATGGTTATTACCTTTTATTCATTGGTATCTCACTTAGCACCTTTTAGGGGAGTCAGGAAATATGAGGTTATGTACATTCCAAGTCATATCTAACCCACTGATGGTTTTCAAATAACCCACAAAGTTGTACTTAGCCACTCTAATTGGCCTATACTATAAATAGACATTGCTTAAGCTACCCGAAAAAGAAATTAGATGATAAATTAACTTTAAGTAAATTTGTTCCAAATCATTAATTCACAGTAATATGTGGTTTTTATCTAGATCTACTTCTGAATCGACACATCTTTTAGGTAATTATCTGGTTATTACAATCTACCTAAGCACTATTTAAATAAATAAATGCAAAGAAAACATATGGTATGATTTCTTGTATATGTATGATAGAAAAAGATGAACATATTATATCAACTTTTAGGCAAGTGGTGGCAATATGGAGACTTTTTTGTCTTCTCTGTGTTTTCTTATTTTCTAAAATAAATATATGTGCATATGTGTACATGTATATACACACACAATGTGCATATATGTATAACTTTTAAAATAAGGAATAAGTAGTGATTTAAAAATTTTTTTTAAATTTATTTCAGAGAGGAAGGGAGAAGGAAAGAGAGATAGAAACATCAATGATGAGAAAGAATCATTGATCATCTTCCTTCTCCTACTGGGGATTGAGCCCACAACCTGGGCATGTGCCCTGATCAGAATCAAACTGTGACCTCCAGGTTCATAGGCCACCACTGAGCCATGCTGGCTGGGCAGTAGTGATTATTTTTAAAATACAGTTACTTTACCACACTAATACATTTCAGCAAACTTATCCATCTGAAACACACACACACAAACATGCAAATCTCTGTACAACAAAAATTATTATTAAAAAGTTCAAAAATTTATTAGTATAGTACCCTCAGAACAATGTTTACTGGATTAATATTGAGAAAAATAAAATTAATGTATCAAAGTGATGAATTTGTTAATTGGTTAATCCCTGTCAAATAAAAAAGATAAACATTCTGAGTCTGCATAGTACTGGGTTAGGGAGATAAACAGTCTTATTTACATAAAAAATTCATAGGATCCCAGATAGATCGAGGAATGAAATATAAAACCCCACAAATATCTCTAAGAAATTTAAGTGAACATTAGTCAATTTTTGGATGAGGAAGAACTATGTGTTAAATCAATGAAAAATCAACAGATTTAAGTTTGTGTTCATAAAAATCTGAAATTTCTGTTTTAAAAATGCCTCAGTATAACAAACAAAGAACAGGGGAGAAGATTTCTCAGTAAAATTGAGTGACTGGGGATTATGCCTAATATAATCTTTAAATTAGTGATACTAATATAAACTAACTCATTAACAATAATTTAACTTGTAAGCCATCATCCTATAGCTAAATGGGCCAAAGACATAAATAAATTCACAAAAAAAGAAAATTCACTGGCTAAGAACTTACATAAAGAAATATTCACCCTCACCAATATAGAAGTCAAAGCAAAAATGAAATGCCACTTTCACCCATGAAATCAGCCCTTTCCTTTTTAATGAGAAAATCCAATGCTGGCAAATATGGCATGAAAATAAAACATTTGATTTATTGCTGATAAGAGTCCATTGGATTTGGCAATATATACTATAATATATATACTAAAATAGGTGCAGCCTTCTTTAGTATACCATCATATAAGGATATTCAGTATTTACTTTTTAATGGGAAAATTAATGTACCTAGATGTTTAAAGTTCAGGGACATTTAAAATCATCTTTATACTGCTCTAAATGTCTAAAAAATAATCTTACTGATTTCATTTTTTTCCATGAGTCCATCCTTGTATCAATATGTAGGCGATTTACTGTTGTGTTTGTTGGTTTAAGTAGTTTACCTGAAGACTCCAAATACCTCTAACCCAAATGAGCTGAACAGAGACATACATATAACACCTAGAGAAAACTTAAACTTTGCCAAGAAACTACATTTTTGGGGTCACAATCTGTGATTAGATAGACAGTTTCTGTCCTTGGCCAGAATAAAGAATATTCAATTGTACCACTCATGAAATTCTACCATTTGCTCTGCATTTTGCTATTCAATGTTGTTCAAAATAAAACCCTACAACTTTATTTCCTCTTAAGAATAAAGGGGAACCACCTGACTACTTAGCATTCTATCAGGAGTCAAGTACGGCCAGAACTGAATCTTGCACCATGTAGTCAACCTTCACTTAAAATAGCTTGTAGACGGCTCTTATCTTAAAAATGACAAAGGTATTCTCTGTCCAGGATATATTGTTATAATTGAACATGCAACCACTGAAGCCTAAGTTCTATTGCCTAATACTCAGTCTGCCTAGATAGCTGAACTAATAGCTCAAACTTGAGCCTGCACTTTGGCAAATGATAAGAATAAATATGAATATGAATAGTAGATATACCAGTGGGGTGATTTATGACTTATGGATTTTATGAAAACAGATGATTATCTCTTCAGAGATGCTGATTAAAAATGGTAAAGGGATTAGCCTAAAGACACAGGGTAAGAAAATGTGACCCATATATATGCTGTCTACAAGAGACCCACTTCAGAACAAAAGATAAACAGAATGAAAGTGAAGGGATGGAATAAAGTACTCCATGCATGTCCGGCCAGTGTGGCTCAGTGGATTGAGCAATGTCCCATGTACAAAGAATTCACTGGTTCGATTTCTGGTCAGGGCACATGCCCACGTTGTAGGCTCAATCCCCACTAGGGAGCATGCAGGAGGTAGCTGATCTGTGTTTCTCTCTCATCAATGTTTTTCTTTTCTCTCTCCCTCTCCTTTCCTCTCTCTCTAAAATAAATAAAAACATATTTAAATAGCTCCATGCAAATGGAAACAAAAAACTGAGATAGCAATACTTATATCAGACAAAATAGACTGCAAAGCAAAGGACATACATACCAAGAGACAAAGATGGTCACCACATAATACTAAAGGGATCAATCCAGCAAGAGGATATAATCTTTATAAACATATATGCACCCAACATAGAAGAAAACAAATAAAGAAAATCTTGGTGGACATTAAGGAGGAGATAGACAGTAATGCAGTCACAGGGAATTTTAACATCCCATTGAAATCAATGGATAGATATTCCAGACAAAAAAAATCAACAAGGCAAGAGCGATCTTAAATGACACACTAGATCAGATGGATTTAATTGATACTTACAGAACATTTCATCCCAAAGCATCAGAATATACATTCTTCTCAAGAGTACACGATACATTCCCAAAGATAGACCACATGTTAGGTCACAAAATAAGTCTTAATACATTCAAGAAGATTGAAATGATATCAAACATATTCTCTGACCACAATGGTATAAAACTAGAAATCAACTACAATTCAAAAAAAATTAAAAACATTCATACACAGGGAGGCTAAATAGCATGAATGGGTTAATAATGAGATCAAAGAAGAAATCAAAAGTTATCTGGATAAATGAAAATGTAAACACAACTCCAAATCTAGAGGATTTGGACAGTGAAAATTCTGAGGACAGTGAAAGCCGTCCTGAGAGGAAAGTTCATTGCATTACAGGGCTACCTCAAGAAGCAAGAAAGAGTTCAAATAAACAATATAATCTTACTCTGAAAGGAATTAGAAAAGAACAACAAAGCCAAGAGTAAGTAGAAAAAAGGCAATAATAAAGATTAGAATGGAAACAAATAACATAGATACTAAAAAATATACAAAAAACATCAATGAAAGCAAGAACTAGTTCTTTGAAAAGATAAAAAAAGATAGACAAATCTTTAACCAGACTCATCAAGGAAAGAAAAAGAGGATCAAAATAAATAAAATCAGAAATGAAAGACGGGGAGTAACAACTGACAATGCAGAAATACAAAGGATTATAAGAAAACTAGTGGCTCTGCGCGCAAATCCTTGCACGGGTAGCTCGCTGCCGCTTGCCTCAGCTGGCTGCCCTGCCCACCACTGCTCATAGCTCTCTGCCACTCATAGCTCTCTGCCCTGCCCTCCTGTAGCTCTCCGCCACGCGTAGCTCGCTGCCCTGCCCTTCTGCTGATCTGTTATTACATAATGGTGTCCCAACCAATTTGCATATTACTCTATTATAAGTATAGATACTATGAACTGCGATATGCCAACAAGCTAGACAACCTGGATGAAATAGATAAATTCTTTCTTCTTTCTTTCTTTCTTTCTTTCTTTCTTTCTTTCTTTCTTTCTTCTTCCTTTCTTTCTTCCTACCTTTCTTTCAATGAGTCTTGTTAAAGGTTTGCCAATTTTGTTTATCTTTTCAAAGAACCAGCTCTTGGTTTCAATGATCTTTTGTATTTTTTTTTTACTCTACTTAGCTTTATTTCTGCTCTGATGTTATTATTTCCTTCCTTCTACTCACTCTTGGCTTTGTTGCCCTTTTTCAAGTTTCTTTAAGTGTAAAATTAGATTGTTTACTTGAGCTTTTTCTTATTTCTTGAGATAGGCCTGTAATGCTATGAACTTCTGACAGATTTGGGGTTATTGTGTCCTCATTTTCATTTGTTTCAAGGTATCTTTTGATTTTTTTCCTTGATCTCATTGTTAACCCATTCATTGTTTAGCAATATGTTATTTAGTATCCATGTCATTGTGTGGTGTTTTTTGTGGGGTTTTTTTCATTTTTTTTTCTTGTGGTTGATTTCAAGGTTCATAGCATTATAGTCAAAGAAGATGCCTGATATGATTCCGATCTTCTTAAATTTATAGAAACTTGTTTTATGTCCTAACATGTGGTCTATCCTAGAAAACATCCCATGTGCATTTTAAAAGATTGTTTATTCCGCTGCCTATGGGTGGAATGATCTGAAGATATCATTAAATGCTGTTGATTTAGTGTTTCATTTAAAGTTATCTCCTTGTTGATTTTCTGTCTG